AGCAGTGACGTAGTGCATTCCATAGACAATGAGAAAGCACGACAAAGACGCGGCTGCTGCTGCCGCTGCCTCAGCCGTCGCACAAACTGTTCCACCGCCGATGTTCGTCACTCCCCCTCCGGTTTTTAATCCGAAGACAGCCGCGCTGTGGTTCGCGCAACTGGAGGCGCGATTCGAGACGTATAAAATCGACGACGAGAAACAAAAGTTTAATCACGCAGTTTCTCTTTTAGATGCAGATGCCGCAGTAGAAGTCGAGGCGCTGATTGTCACACCTCCAGCGGTCAATCCATACACGCAGCTCAAAAAAACGCTTATAAAATGTTTTTCAGCTTCTGAATCTTTGAAGCTGCGAAAACTCCTAGATGGCGAAGCCATCGGAGACCGCACACCGACACAGTTCCTCCGTCACCTCAAAGCACTTGCTCCAAGGATCAATGAGGCGGTAATTAAAGCTAAATGGATAGCTAACCTGCCGAAGAAGACCCAGGAACTGCTGTCTGTATCTCCAGACAACGCTACACTGGACCAACTGGCAAAAACTGCCGACAAAATCCATGAAGTCTACCTAGAGAAGCACACGGTAGCTGCTGCTTCAGCAACGCCGGAAACTTCGCCACTCGAGAAGGTAGTCGCAGAATTGGCTCAGCAAGTCGCATCTTTAGCCAACGATCTACGTCAGGAGCGTGGAAGAAGCAAATACCGTGGATATAACCCAGCGTCCAGGAGTCCGAGCCGCAGTCTATCAAAACCTCGGCTGAAGAAGTCAGGACTTTGTCTCTTCCACGAGAAGTACGGAGCACAAGCTTTCCGTTGCATTCCTGGCTGCAAGTTTCAGGAAAATGCCAGCGGGGGTCAGTAAAGGCGGACTGCGACTCCCTAGCATCGTCGAACCGTCTTTTCGTAACAGATCAAGCCATGAACACACTTTTCCTCGTGGATTCTGGCTCAGATCTTTCAGTTTACCCTCGGGGGCGGTTAAGATGCAAACCAGAACCGGCTGGATATCAACTCCACGCCGCAAACGGTTCACTTATCGAAACCTACGGTTTTATAACCTTATCGTTGAATCTAGGTCTACGTCGAGATTTCACCTGGAGATTTATCATCGCTGATGTCACAAAGCCAATCATTGGAGCCGATTTCATGAGTCATTTTGGCTTACTTATTGAGCTCAAGAATAAACAGCTACGTGACGACACAACTGGTCTCCAGACCAGCGTAAATTCCATCGAGTCCTATGCAAATTGCATCAAAGTAATCGAAGGCAACTTAGTTTATCACAAACTGCTTATCAAATACCCAGCTATCACTCGACCAGAAGGAATCACTGCGACGAAGAAACACTCGGTAGTGCATCACATTAAAACGACGCCTGGACCTCCAGTATCGTGCAAAGCACGACCTCTGGCGCCGAACAAGCTGAAAATCGCTCAGGAAGAGTTTAGACAACTGATCAAACTTGGAATCGCTCGACCGTCGACCAGCGCATGGGCATCTCCGCTACATCTTGTACCAAAGAAGTCAGGAGAGTGGCGACCGTGTGGTGACTACAGACCGCTCAACACGCGTACTGTGGAGAACAAGTACTCGATCAGGAGACTCACCGACTGTGCAGCAGCACTAAAAGGTAAAAAGATATTTTCTGTTATAGATTTCGCCAGAGCGTACAATCAGATTCCAGTCGCAGAAGAAGACATCGAGAAGACAGCGATTATTACCCCATCTGATTTATTCGAGTTCCTGTATATGACGTTTGGACACAAAAATGCCGGACAGACGTTTCAAAGCTTCATCGACGAGGTCACGAGAGATCTTCCTTTCGTATTCGCCTACATCGACGACCTCCTCGTAGCATCAGACGATAAGGAACAGCACCTGGAGCACCTGGACATGCTCTTCAAACGTCTCGAGGAGTACGGAATCGTAGTCAACGTCGCAAAATGTGTACTGGGTCAACCTGAGGTAAAGTACCTTGGTCATCTGACCAACGAAAAAGGTATCAAGCCGTTGCCTGAGAAGGTAGACGCAATTATTAACCTAAAATTCCCGAGCATAATTACTATTCTGCGAGGTTTTCTTGGTACTCTAAATTTTTACAGGAGATTCATCAAGAACGCAGCCCATACCCTGGCACCGCTGAACAAACTGCTTGAAGGTCCAAAAATTGAAGGTTCAACCCCGATCGTCAAGACACCTGAGCTCCGAAAAGCTTTCGAGGACGCAAAGCAAGCCCTGGCTGATTCAGCCATGCTTGCTCACCCGGATGACGAAGCATCATGGGCGATATTCTCCGACGCATCTAACTCTGCTATTGGAGCAGTTTTCCAGCAGCACATAGACGGCAAATGGCAGCCGTTAGCTTTCTTCAGCAAAAAGCTGCAGCCGTCGATCCAAAAATTATCGACTTACGACCGTGAACTACACGCAGTCTACGAAGCAGTGCGCCATTTCAGGCACATGTTTGAAGGTAAGCACGTTACAGTTTTCACTGATCACAAACCTTTGCTTTACGCGTTTCAGCAACGCACAGAGAGAGCCACGCCATGGCAGTTCCGTCGTTTGGACTTCGTTGGACAATTCACGACTGACATCCGTCATGTCTCCGGTCACGAGAACGTCGTCGCCGACATGTTGTCCTGAGTCGAAGCCATCGCGACACTTATCACGACGCAGGAGCTAGTTTTTGCACAACGCAGAGACCCAGAACTTCAAGACCTGCGCAATAACCAAAATTTAGCGATCCAGTGGCAACAAATCAACTACGAGGACTACCCAATCTCGGTATACTGTGATGTTTCATCAGGTAAACCAAGACCGTACATTCCTGGTCCTCTTAGGAAGCAAGTTTTCGACTCGCTGCATTCCCTGGCTTATCCTGGAGTCAAAGCGTCGATAAAATTGGTCACAGAACGATACGTCTGGCCGGCAATGAGAAAAGATTGTCGAGAATAGGCCAGAGCCTGCCTAGATTGTCAGCTCAATAAAGTCCATCGTTACGTGTCGTCACCACTCGCTCGTTTTGATCTTCCAACGCAGAGATTCGAGCACATCCACATCGACCTGGTTACTCTACCAACATCGCACGGATACACGAAGTGTCTCACTATCATCGACAGGTTCACACGTTTCCTGGAAGCTGTTCCACTGAAGAACGGCGACGCTGACACTGTAGCGCTCGCGCTCATCCAGAACTGGATAGCCAGATACGGCGTACCACTGAGGATCACATCAGACCAAGGAACGCAGTTCACATCTGCGTTATTCCAAGCAATGAAGAGATTTTTCGGCATAAAACACCTGAGGACAACCCCAGGTCATCCACAAGCCAATGGAATGGTAGAATGGTCCGACGCACTACCCGCAGTACTCTTCGGTCTACGAGCAGCCTGGAAAGAGGACATCCAAGCTAAACCAGCTGAACTGGTATACGGCGAGCCAATCCGCTTGCCCGGTGAGTTGATAGTCCCATCAAATAGGCACGTGGACGTTCAAAACGTTTTACGAGACCTGAGAGCAGATTTTCATAATTTGGCACCAGCCGACACAACGCGTCATGGAAAAAAGTCTGTTTTCTGTTTCAGAGACCTGGCTACATGCACTCACGTATTGGTACGCAACGATCAAATTGGACCAGCCTTCTCGGCACCGTACGAGGGTCCATTCGAAGTCGTGTAAAGGCATGGAAAATATTTCGTCGTCAACTACAGACGAGCAAACACAGCCATATCCGTCGACCGACTAAAACCGGCGTATCAACTCGCCGACGATATTTAAAATTTTTTTTTTTTATCAGTATTATTTCGTTTGTAAATAGCAGTCATTTTATTTTTATTATATCTATTGTTAAATAAGTAAATTATTTTTTTTTAAAAAGGAAAGTATTGTAGCGACAGCTACACCAAATTTTGAGTCCTACTCGGGTGACTTCAGCGAGACTCGTGTGTAGCCGCTGACGCGAGCCTCACATACACACACATACATACAGTCTCGAGCAACCGAACTGCGTCGCGCACGTTTTCGCTCTGTACAATTATTCCTCATATTTTGTTATCAATAAATATCACGTTAATATTTAATTCTTTTGAGTTTATTAATTTAAGTAGTTATTTTCCCTAACCATAAATCCTACATATATATATATATATATATATATTTTAGTAGTTTAATTTATTTAATTGTTTATTGGAGCCATTTGGACGGTGGTCATCCACACCCGTTACAGCTTTCGAATATCCAAAGCCTTAGTAATTCCTTTAATACTCCGTTTTTCCTCTTATTTTATGAATAGCTCTTAAATTATAATATACATGGGAAGTATTGGTAAGGTTATTTAAACAAAAGCTATTATTTCCAAATTTAACAATAATCATTTTTATTGAACTTAACACAATATCACAGATGTACTTTTTTTTACTTAATGAAAGCTGATTTATTCATTAAATGAGTTCAAGTTGATCACATACATGTAACGATAGAATTATTTAATCTCTCAATTGAAATTTTATGATCATCACTTTATTCAATTAATTCGGTAATTGTTGACTGGAACTAATAATTCTACTTTACGTTGAATAAATGTTGAATCACATGGAGGTTGTGATGATTAACTAACAAATGTTGACTTGCTGGTTCTAACGCTCTTTTCGGTGAAAGGTCGGTAATAAATTCATTTTTGAAAAAGTTGTATGTGTGATTATGAATCATGGGAGAAGACGATACTCGGGGAATTTGAAATCGGGCATAAAAATAAAAGCGTTAGTATTAAGGTAAGGGTATAACACTCTAGAAATAGAGTATGGTTGATTTAATTTTACGACTAAACGTTCTGATTAAAAATGTGCAATTTGAGGATTAAATATCGGATGGTCATTGATTACTTCGCGTACTTGTCAGAATTTTACCATTCTCCGAGCTTGTAAGGTTCATTGTGCTTTTCGAGTTTTTTAGATTTCCTTTAGAACGCCAAGTTAACGGTTCGGCACCATGATAGTTAATATCTATATTTGCTTAAGGACCATAACATATCTTATTTCTTTGTAGTTTGTCGAACATTTACATCCGATTTCAACTATTCTTATTGCAATTAAGAGAAAAAAATTCAAATTAAAATGAAAAATGTTAAATATCTGTAACTGCATACATTTATATGAACTATACTTACGGTGAACTTTTTTTTGAATAAATCGAAGTTTGCACGCCGTTCTATATGATGCGAAACGAATACTATCAAAATTTTGTTCCTGCATCTCTTGAGATAATTGTAGTATACTTGCTTCATTATTATGATCTGAACTTTTTCGATCGAATTCGTCATCTGTCATTGCTGTCTTCTAGAAAATTATTCAAATTTGTAAAAAATGGCATCTTTGAGATTTGAACGATAAATACCAATAAGTAATAAATGAAATTCTTTAAGTTATGTTACGTCCAGAATCTGCTCTTATTTTTTTATTTTATTTATCATTTTATTATAAAATATTTTTTTTGCTATTTCATATTTCTTTTTATCTTTTTTTTAAAACTCTGAATAAAAAAAAAGTATTGAGACAAAGAAAAAAGTATTGAAAAGTATTAGATTGACTAGAAAACCAATACTTTCAATATTTTTTTCTTTGTCTCAATCCTTTTTTTTAATCAGGGAACAGACGGTTATAAAATTAATCAAAAAGTAAACCTCGGCACTCTTAAATCTAATGGTTTAAGTGCCCTTCAAATATTATAAAGAAAATATTTGATGAGTTTTCTAGTCACAAAAGTAAATACTGTAATATAATTTTAATGATACCGTAGCCAGAGTCCTTCCGATAACGGACCAAATAAAATAAAAGATAAAAGAAATGAAATAACAAAATAGTTATAAAACTTATCTTAAAAATAATTTTAGTTCAAAATTTAAATAAATATAACAACTTTTTTTATAACATAGATAATAAACAATTCATATCTAATAAACAACAGGAAAGTTTATATTAGAAAAATAAATTAGAATAAAAAGTTCAAAGGCAATAACTAATACTTTTAACAAATTAAATATTAAATCGAAATAATATTTAGTAAACAAATAACAATTAGTTAAAAGAGATGACTGAAATTTAAAACTAAAATTAAAGAAAATTATATCATAAGCGAAACGCTCTTTTTGTAAGTAATAAATAAAACCATTATTATTATTTATACTTGTACACATGTAAGTGCGAATACACGTGGTCAAGTATATTTAAAAAATTTCCGAACGCAAGTAAAAATAGAGGGGTGTGAGGCCCACGTCGACATAGAGAGAATAGTTCCCTCCAGTTTCTTGAGAGAAAGGGAAGCGGTACCCCGGGAAACTGGGTCCTAATTGGACGAAGTTTTCCCCAACCATTTTCGAAGTGTTGGCTCCACCCTGACTTCTATAAAAAAACTTTTCGGCGTGAACTCACTCTCTCGTGTGTAACCAGTCTTAGTGATCGTCACGCATATTTTCAAATTATCAATTTTGTACAATTAACAAGTTAAGTGACTGTCACATATAATTCAAATCAGAGTTAGTTCAGTTTATAAGTTTAGTGACTATAAAATATAATTCAAATCAGATATTTTCTATGTTTAATTTTAAATTCAACTAATATCAAGTGTAATAAAACAACTAAATTTCAATTCGATAAATTTAATAATTAAAATAGATATGAAATAGTGAAAACTTCAATTATCTTCTGACTCAACATATAAGGTAACAATTTATATTATCATTGTAATTTTTGTATTTAATATTTTGTGAATATAATCTCATTTTTAAATTAATTTAATCCAAATATCAAATTTATTTCAATTTTCTAACTATCCTTAAATAAGATAATCTTGTGATCCCGGTCTATTGGTTATTAACTAGGGCCGAAGGTAAAAATAATCTTGTCAAAAATATAGTGTGGGCCGGAAGTGTTTTCTCGCTCATAATTTGGCGAAGTCACTATAGTAAAGCATAAACTTTGGCATATTATCGTCAGGACACGAATTCTGTCCCACTTTTGACGTAACAGTTATATAAGCACACTCAAAAAATTCACTGATATAGCTTGATTTGTCTATTGTAAACTCACAAAAGAAAAGTTGGTAAATCCAAATCTACAAACTTTAAGCGTTCACTTTCTACGCAAAATGATCAAAGTAACAATTAAAAATAGTAAAAACCGAAGAGTTATGCCATCAGATTATCTTTACAATTCATTATTAATGTTTGAATTTTGCTGCGAATAAAAATTACTCCGCCATTCGAACGTCCCCGGGAAAAAATGTTCAGGACTGATCAGACCTGTTCATATCTGATCAGACCTGAAATCCGACCTGATCAGGCCTGTTCAGGTATGATCAGGCCTGAAATTAGGCCTGATCAGACCTGTCCATGTCTGTTCATGTCTGAACCGTTAGATACGCTCAGACCTGATCAGACCTGTTCATGCCTGTTCATGGCTGTTCATGTATGAAGTGTTAAATACGCTCAGACCTGATCAGACCTGATCAAGCCTGCTCATGCCTGCTCATGTCTGTTCATGTCTGAAGCATTAAATACGCTCAGACCTGATCAGATCTGAAAGCCTGTTCATGCCTGCTCATGCCTGCTCATGTCTGTTCATGCCTGTTCATGCCTGTTCATGTCTGAACCGTTAAATACGCTCAAACCTGATCAGACCTGTCCATGCCTGTTCATGTCTGAACCGTTAGATACGATCAGACCTGATCAGACCTGTCCATGTCTGATCATGTCTGTTCTAGCTTAATAGAAAAGGATTAAAACTCCATATATCAGCTGACAAGAACTGTTCATGCATGAGTTGCCCTCTTAAATGATATTTTAAATCTGGAAAAAAAATTTGATCGAACTATAGACTGCACTTCTATTTTTAAAATTAATTTGTTCCATATGACGTATCAGTTTCTATCCCCTTATAAATTTGAAATGTAAAACTTTCATTAAAAATTTCGGCCTATATAAGCATGGACTTTTTAATTTTCCATGCCAAAACAATGATTTTTAACGATGAATTTTGACGCAATGACAAAATTTTTTACTGTGTTCCATTGAATACGCGAAAAATAAGATTATTTAGTAAAAGTTTAAGTTTGATACCAAAATATGTCAGTTGATATCGATGTCCTTTCAAGGTGTCTGCTATTATCTTAAGCTACACCTTGGTCTATTGCAGTAGTGTCAAAGGCTTTTAAATTGTAGAACACACAAATAATTCTTCATTTCCTATACGTTTTTATTAAAAAAAACTTCAATTTTTAAAGAAAACAATAAAATTATAATTACGGAATAAACCTTGAAGAAATTGTTTTTTTTACTTCACATAGAACCATATGTTAATGGAGCGAATAAAATACATAGCCGTCCCAAATAAATCACTCTAATATACACAGTAAAAAATTTTGCGTCATTGCATCAAAAATCATAGTGTTAAAAATTTTTGTGTTAAATATTTAACACTTTTATGTGGAAATTTAACATTTATTCTGTAAAATCAACACAAAAAAGTGTTAAATATTTAACATAAAAATTTCAACACAAAATTGTTTGACGCTATGAAGCGAAATTTTTTACTGTGTATAATTAATTACACTGGTCTACAGTGGTTTTGTTGCCCTAGATATAAGATTGATTTTGGATATATTTATACTCACAATTCATGAAATTATGAATGATTTTGTAAGATTTGCTTTCGTTTTTTTTTAAATACTTATTTTTATTTTACATTACAAAAATCGGAAAACGAGAAACAAAATAACAGATATATTTATAATGTCAGTTTTATTTGGATAAAAATATGATATATCGAAGTAAATAGAGAGGAAAATTTGGAAAACATGTTATATTTCCATAAAACGCCTTTTAAGAGCTTTTCTTTTATAATTTTTCCGGGGACAATCTCTTTTTAAAGACCAGCAGTAATCTGCCATCATATAACAGTCCCATCGACCCTGATATCTTTCTTCCATTACGTTCAGATCCTGGTGGGACCGCTCTCCTTGTTCCTCACTATAATATCCTAAATTATCTGGAAATTTATCCAAATGATTGCGGAGATAGTGTAACTTGATACTCATATTTGCTCCAAGAGTCTGAAAGTTTGTCAGCATATTATGTACAATTTCTTCATAATTTGGTGCTATATCTGATCAGATCTGATCATTTTTTTCCGGGTCCTTATGAATAATGACAGTTCATTTCCGCATTAAAAATAAGAATTCAAAACGACCGGCAATAATCCTTCCCTATAAAAGAAAGAATTTAAATCTATTGACAGTACTCAGAAGTGTTGAAAAGAATTCATTGTTTCAAGAATTTTTTAAACGGGTTTTTTAATTACCCGAGAAAAAGTTTTCATTCATAATTATATGTAATGATAATTAATCATACATAACTGTATACCCGGGAAAAAAAGTTTAGATCTGTTCTGATCAAATTTGATCCGGTCAGATCAAATTAGACCAATCCAGATCAAGTTTGATCAAAATGAAATTAGAAATTAGATATAAATAGATCTGACTTGATCTATGCAGATCTAATTTAATCTGATTATTATGTGGGAAAAAAAGTTTAGATATGATCAGATCAAGTTAGATCAAATCAGATCAAGCTTGATAAATATATAATTGTAAATGTGATATGAATAGATCTACTTAGGTACGACTTTTTATACTTTATGTTCTAATAAATAGCTCTTACAAATGCAATAACTTCGATCACGTTTTTTTTATTTAATACAAATTATGACCGGATGTGATTGTTTCAATAGAAACATTGAGTATTCTTCTTTACAATCACGTACATGAAACCTGGTGTTAAGTAATTCATTTATTTGTAATTAATCATCAAAATTGTTGAAGATCAAGAATTTTCAAAAATTTATAACTCAGAAACTATCAACTTACGGCAAATTTTATAAGAGTAATTTCCATCTTAAAATTGCCTAAATTATTGAAAAAAAATCTGGAAAACGGTTGACCCTAAAGGCCATCCCTGCAACGTCCCGCCAATTCGACACCTAAACATTTGAGTTGCACTTATGACGTTTCTGAGCTCTTCAAGCTTAAAAATACAATTTGTGGGTTATTTTGAGCTCTCCAAGCTCAAAGAAATAGCTTTTGTATGCTTTTGAGCTCTTCGAGCTGAAAAGGCTGATAGAAGTTTAATACAACAGTATTTTTTGAATTTTCAAACTGCAATCATTTCTAAATGAATGAATCGATTTTCACGCGGTTGGCAGTATTGCACGCACTTTTTCCGAATCTATGATAAACTTTTGAACACAAACTGATGAACCGAAAATTTTAGAGAAATCAGAAAAAT